CACTTGTATAGAGTCAGTGGCCGCAAAATAGAGTCAACTAATCCATAGTATAATATATTTAATTTATGTATCGGCACAAATTCTCTGACTGTTACAAATACGTATAATAACTTTCGCGTTTTTTTAGTTAAATCTAATATATGGGGCCTCCAATTTAAGCAACTATCTATAATGACTCCTAAGTAATTAACTTTATTTATTCTATTCATTTTGGACCAGTTATATTATTGGGGGTAGGATTGAGTGCAGTTTTTTTCATGAATGTCGCTAGCCTGTATTATAGAGCGAGAATGTCATATAATTTGTTTTGATAACATTAAGTGATAGTGTGTTTATATCTAACCAGTATTTAATGTCGTTAAGTTCTCACTCTGTAGTACTGAGGGTATCATCCCAATTATCACCTGTAGAAAACCGAGCTGTATCGTCGGCAAAGTTGCATAGATCATTTATAGATATTATAAAAAAGACCGGTCCTAAGACTGTACCCTGAGGGATTGAATATTCTGAAGTAAACTGATCGCTGACAATACCGTTTACTTTAACCAATTGAGGTTTACTCTGCAGGTAGCTTTTTAAACCAATCTAGAATAACCCCTCTAACTTCTATATTGTATAACTTAACTATCGAAGGCTTTTGACAGGTCCAGGAACACGGCTGCCGCCTTTCTACCCTTGTCCAGCTGGTCAGTAATGTATGTAGTTACTTCCGATATCGCATCTTGACTCTAAACCCTTCTGAAATCCATATTGAATACTTGATAATTTTCGATTATTTTCAAGAATTCTACTAATTTGTTTTAACAATTTTTTCCAAGACTTTAGCAAGCTTTGATAATATCGAAATTGGCCTATAGTTGGACAATAGTTTTGTATCACCACTTTGGTATATTGGGGTAATAACAGACGTTTTTAATATATCAGGGAATACACCATTATTTATACTTAAGTTCACTATGTGTTTTATGAGTTTAATTATATTATCGGTGTTGTCTTTCAGTATTTTGGCAGTAATGTTGACGTGATCTGAACCTGATCTCTCTCTCAGTTCAATTATGGCCCACTGTTACCATACATTCCTCCAATACCAGGCTATCTCTAACCCCCTCGGGCCTCTCCTCATCCATCCCTACCCTCTTACCCTTTTTCTTTTGCCATCTCTTTCCCCACTGTTGTAAAGTATTCCCCGAATATAATTGGTCCATGTTTTTGATTATCTACTAAGTTAATTTAATTCCCATTTTTCATATCAGTAAATAACTATGGTAATTCAAAAGTTCCGTAGATATTCGACATATTCTCAAAGCATTAATTAATTGTTGATAACAGGACACATTCAAGTATCTTTGTTACCTTGTTTGGTTTCAGAACATTGCGCGGTAATTCTCTTCGCCAGCTCTCTTCAAGAACATTTGAAAAGCTTACAAAACTAGCCCATATGTGAGTAGAATTCAGTAAAGATAAAATGCTTTCTAATTAACTTTAGAAGAACTGTTCTAATGAGCTAAATAATTAAGTAAGTTTAGTTTCGTCTGGCTATCTTTAATTTTCTACTTTCGAATGCGGTAATTTGTAAGCGTTATGTGAAATTTATGTAATGTTGAAATGAGGGCAATCATCATTTTGGATATATAAAACAAAAGTGGACAGACTTGAATATATTATACGTCAGTTTAGAGTCTTATCTTATCAAATATAATAGAATGCGTATTAGATTAAAGTTTACATTATATTGTCATTACAATGATTACAATTTTTCACATAGAGTGGTGATAATGGAAAGGTTTAATTGTTCATGTGTGAAAATAAGAAACCATTGTTTTACTCGTCTTTTTTTTTCTAGCTATTTTGATGAATTCTACATGTGCCAATTTGCTGTAAAAGTTCGAGTATGTGAACCACGTGGCGATGGGATTAGTAGTGTGGCTAATCTCCTGGACAATGTCGTTCTTCGGGTGTCTGTTTGGATCGTGGCTGTTTTAGCTTGTTGTGGAAACGTTTTTGTTTTGATGAGCCGCTTGCTGTTACGAGAACAGAACGCAGTACATTCCTTCTACATCATGAATTTATCTGTAGCCGATCTTTTAATGGGTATATACTTGTTCATCATTGCCGGATATGATGTTTCCTATCGTGGTCATTATATCCGGCACGAGAAGCAATGGCGTCATAGCTGGAAGTGCAACCTGTGTGGATTACTCAGTACACTTAGCAGTGAAGCATCAGTCCTAATTTTAACTGTTATCACCATCGACAGATACATTTCTGTTTTACACCCTATATCAGTAGTTGAGAAGCGTCGAACTATAAAATCAGCCTTTGCTTGCATGGCTACTGTCTGGTCGGTGGCTGTGCTGATGTCGGCTTTGCCTTTGTCCAATATCGCTTACTACGGCCTGGAATTTTACGGAAACAACGGGGTATGCTTGCCTCTACATATTCACAACCCCTTCTTCCAGGCATGGGAGTACTCTACTTTTCTTTTCTGCGGACTCAACACGGTGGCCTTCGTCTTCATCCTGTACGCTTACATCTCCATGTTCTTCACCATCTCCGCATCCAAGATTGGATTACGTTCCACTCAACAGCAACAAGACAGAACAATAGCCAAGCGATTTGCTTTCATCGTGGGCACAGATTTTCTCTGCTGGATTCCCGTTGTGCTTATTAAACTTATTGCTCTTGGAGGTAAGAAAATGGGATAAAAAGAACAGAGATGCATTTTATCATTTCCATTTAGAACCGAACAAGTGACTAAACCTATTGTCGTTCAGCGTTAAAATGTAACATTGACGTCAGGTCGATCTTAATGGAGTTTATGATGTTTATCTCCATCATCAAATATCCATTGTTGATCCTAAGGTTACGTTTACTCCAAAAGTGGCCCAGCTGAACACCAGTAGCTCTGTATGAATTAATAATTAGCAAAGATACTATATTAATAGTAATAATATAGGGATCACAAAATAATATGTTAGCCTCAAGTACCAAGTATCTTATGAAACAAATACACGTATATTGTATATTTTTATTGATAATCATATGCATGAATTGCTATGTACCTCGTTAGAAATTGGAGTAATTATTTTGCTAAAAGAAACTCCACATAACATTGCCCAGTTAATTACATTGATTCAAAGATGTAATGAATATTAAAGTTTTGTATTAAAACTAAATAGTTGATAATTTTTCTTCTTGTACCACAAATAAAACAAATAAATTAATTTTGTTTACTTTCTGCCATGAGAAAAAGAGCTCAAGTTTTTGCAAAATACTGTTTCATAGATTATGAAAAAAAAAAAACGCGTAGCTGAAAATCTCGAAAAATTGATACAAATGTAAATTAGTCCTAAAGTCGACTTAAAACGGCGAATAAAAGCAACATTTTTATTGTGCTTTGATGCCAAGGAGTCTTAGGACGTCTTGAAATTAGAACATTTCATTAACTGTTATTGATCGTTTTTTTCTTTAGGGATAGAAGTAAATAAACCTTATATTCCTCTTTTCATTAGCTATGATTGATTGTTTTTACTTTAGAGATAGGAGTAGACAAACCTTATACTCCTCTTTTCATTAGCTATTATTGATTGTTTTTACTTGAGAGATAGGAGTAGACAAACCCTATACTCCTCTTTTCATTAGCTATTATTGATTGTTTTTACTTTAGAGATAGATGTAGACAAACTTTATACTTCTCTTTTAAAAACAATCAATAATAGCTAATGACTTTAGGGATAGAAGTAGACAAAACCTTATACGCCTGGATAGCTGTGTTCCTTCTGCCTGTGAATTCTGCTCTCAACCCTATACTGTATACATTGACGACAACAGTTTTCAAGCAACAGCTATCGAGAATTCTCATCAGTTGTCGCTCGTCTCGACCGTTGGGTAAGAACGTGGATAGTTCAGGAATGACCTCCTCAACTACTGCTCATCGACGAAATCCTAAACGTGCTGTGTTAGTCGTCTACTCGGAGGTACGCGTCAGTAACAGGCGGTTGCTATTCAATTTTTTTAGGAAGCTGAAAGAGTTTCATTTAGATATATGATTTAAATCCTAATCTAATTTTAAATCTAGAACTAACGGTAAAATTTATTGATAAATTTCAGTGTTTATTTTAAGGAAGACCAGGTAAAAACAAAATGAAACTTTACTGGTACATTCAAGTTTTTAATATCCATCCCATGATTTCACTTTACCCTCTGGTGTTGGATTTGGTGCTTATTATACGCACATTAATACGTCACCTGTCCTTCTCACTTCGCTTGAAAGCTATGAAATCCGTTAGTATCAAAGACTTAAATTCATTTAATAGCCCCCCCCAGTGGCACAGCGGTATGTCTGCGGACTTACCCGTGGTGGGTAGAGCACAGATAACTTATTGTGTAGTTTTGTGCATAACTATAAACAAATAATCACTTATAACGACATTTTAATATGTTTATTTAAAATAGAAAAAAAAAGTGATGTAAATATTAATATACAAAACAATAAAGACCAAATCTTAAGATGTTGATGATGCTTCTATGTTAATTATTTTATTGCACCGTTTCAGGTTGACCACAACAAATCTTTAATCATATCAGCCAATCGACACAGCTGTACACAGAAACATCGTACTTCCAAGTGTTCCAAGGCCAGAAAAGAAAACTCTCAGGATGTACAAGCGGTCTAGATATCGTAACTTACAAAAACACTGCGTTTTTGTCATTCAGTGGACGCACGAGTTTAACATATAAATAAAACCTAGAAACGTTCGAACTTGCATGGACTTTTAAAGAAGTATTCTCGCTTACATACAAATCTGAAACTTATATCTATTCTAAAGCCTCGCCAATAAAACGGTAGATTGTTATAAAACGTTGGAAGCGATTCTCTGCTGTAAGCGACTGACAACCTGTTTTGTAAAACGTTGCCAGGTTGTTTTATCAAAAGATTGTCATATTCTGTTGTGAACAATAATATGCTATCAGTTCTAAATGACTGTTGCTGTTATCTTGTACAATATTACAAGGTTGTTGTGTTAAGATAATATCATGATCAACTATGAACAATCATTATGCCGTAGTAAATTAACCGCCATCAATTTATAAGCATGATAAAAAAATTAGGTAGAGAACATAATACATATTTAAAAACATTAGTCTGTCTTCTTCGTAATAATTTTTATGGTACATGCTGCAAACATGTGTTATGAAATATTACCAAGTTGTTTTATTAACAGATTAACATTGTCGTGAATCGTTGTGAACAATTATTATGCTATGTGCTGTAAACGGCTGTCACGCTGTGTTATGAAATATTACCAAGTTGTTTTATTAACAGATTAACATTGTCGTGAATCGTTGTGAACAATTATTATGCTATGTGCTGTAAACGGCTGTAAACATGTGTTATGAAATATTACCAAGTTGTTTTATTAACAGATTAACATTATCATAAACCGTTGTGAACAATTATTATGCTATGTGCTGTAAACGGCTGTCACGCTGTGTTATGAAATATTACCAAGTTGTTTTATTAACAGATTAACATTATCATAAACCGTTGTGAACAATTATTATGCTATGTACTGTAAACGGCTGTCACGCTGTATTCTGGACACTTTATATTCTTAAATGAAAACTAAAATGTTTTTTCTAAACCTGCTATTTTATTACTGCCAAAAGAAACAACTTGGCTATGTGATTCCAGGACAAAAAGATCTTGGATGTTTCGGATGAAGCATTCTGTTTAAATTTAAGGTTTTATAGGAAACCGTTTAATTTCTAGAAGGTAAGATGTAAAGGTCCATTTGATGTTCCAGAGCTACTTTCTTTCTTTCTTTTTTTTTGGGAGGGGGGGTCACTTGTGATAAATTTTAGATTTTTGGTAAACTATAAAGTAAGATTAAGACAGGCATAGCGTTGCAGTAAAATAAAATAAAAAGGTATTTTCCTTGATTTATGGACGAAAGTTCATAGAACATTTTTTTCTTTGCAGTGCGTTTCCAGACACTTTCAGGAAATCTATTGAATTATTAGTATTATTGGCTATCTTGCAATGATTTCTCTTACAATATATTTGTTTGAGTAGTGTTCGTTTTTATATATAACTATATATACTACATATATTATGAATACGTGCTGTGATTTAACTTATATTTGTCGTATATTATCACTGTTCATGTCAGCGTTTGCTATCAAGTAACGCATAATGTTGTTCATTGATAATTCGCGGACCGGTAAAAATGGAAAACAATAGAACCCAATTTCCCTAAGGTACGGGTGTAGTGTTAAACAACTAATTACTTCCGATTAATATGTAAATTTAATGTATTTCGATGTGTATTAGTCGTAAATAACCCATGCACTTGTTGTCACGTTACGCTGTCAAAATGTTTGTATGTTAGCATGGTCTGACATAATTTGAGGACAGTTGAGAATTGGAAATAATAGGGCTCTTAGCTTCGCAAAGGTGTGGGTGTAGTGTTAGACAAATAATTACTCCCAATTAATGAATGTGTTGTATCTTTATAAATATTGTTCGTTGATTAACCACATCTGTACTTGTTGTCACGTTATGCTGTTAATGTATTTGCGTGTTATCTTTTCTCCAAGGTAACTCGAGAACCGTTAAAAGTAGCTTCACCCGCATACACAAACAAATAACCTGATTTGGAGTTAAAATGTTAAAGATGAAATTGTTGTTTTTCTCAGTGCAAAACTACACAATGTGTTATCTACACGTTGTAAGTCTCTAAGCTTACAGCGGACCCGCCTGGGGATTTGACGATTACAACAGTGGTAGGTGTTTGGGGCGTAGTCCTCGTTTTTGCGCTGGTATTGAGCTCAACTTAGTGTTACTAGTAATTCTAAGGTTATCCAAAATCATATATTACTTCTTTTATCTTTCAAATATACGTATCATAAATTTATATATGACCTATATGGAAATTGTGTTATTAGATAGTTATATCTAATTCGAGATTACAGGGTGTGACAAAAGTGACAATACAGTTGTTTACTGGTCTGCATAACCAGGCTGTTAGGGCGTTCGACTCTCAGTCTGGGAGTCGCAGGTTCGAATTCGCGTCTCACCAAACATACTCGCCCTTTCAGCCGTGAGGACGTTATAATGTTATGGTTAAACCCACTATTCGTTGTTAAAATAGTAGCCCAATAATTGGCGGTGGGTGGTGATGGCTAGCTGCCTTCCCTATAGTCTTTTACTGCTAAATCAGGGTTCGGTTAGTGCAGATAGCCCTCATGTAACTTTGGGCGAAATTCAAAACCCAACCAGTTTTTTATTAGAATGTATTCTAATTTCTAACAATTACTGTAAAATAAACAATAATTAAACTGGTTTCAGTTGTCTTCGTAATATTTCCTTTAGTATCAATTGTACCACCCGTATAGCACCAACTGTATGATAGCATATATATTCAACCTTGTATACCCGTGTGTATATCTATTTGTTAGTATATGCGTATATATATACATATACACACATTTCTTAATGTAATTGTGAACATGTTAATTAGTATTACCACATTAGGTTCAGATACATGCTTGATGTTTATAAGCAATATACTATTTTGCTTGTCTTTCATAGCGTTTTCTTTTCGTTTGTATTTTTCGGAATTGAATAAAAATAAGATAATAGAATAGTCTTTGTTTTGCACCTAATCCTCTATTCTAGCATGATTTCCAAAACACTTCAACTGGAATTCCTAGATGTCTATTGCTAGAGGCCACATATTGATTCTAGCAGAAAATACATTGGGAACCAGCATTTGTCTTTTGTGATAAATATTTATTTTACTATTGCTAGATTTTATACCTTCTGGAAAACCTTAAGTTTTCATCAGACATTTTAAACAATGCGCTTATTTACTAGGCCAATATCTTTGTGCCAATTTTCTTCAGATGTTCCCCTGTGTTAAAGCTCAATTTGTAAATAGATTATTCATGTATAAGTGTTTGCATTTTATTAACTTTAAAATCCTTCTTTTGCAAATATTTAACAGTCAGTTAGATCTTAACTGATTGTGAAGAAATGTATATCTATATATAAAGTGTAGTTGTCCGTCTGTCTGTCTGTCTGGTGTCACAAGTTTTTGTGAGGAGTTGGCTGAATTCATTTTCGGTGAAATTTGGGAAAGGAACTCAGGTTCATCCCTAAAGATGAAATTTCAATGTATAAAAATTCAGAAGAACGGTTCGAATTTGGCATTTAGTTATTTGTACTCCTTAATGCTGAGAATGAGAGTTCACTTGAGCAAGGATATCGGTAGAAAAATTCGAAAAGTTGACACTAAGGGAAAGTAAAGTTAAATAACACACGTAACACAGGTACCTCTGCATCGGACGAACGGCTTGTGTGCTACGGCTCTAAGTAGTGAAAAGGGGCAGCCCATACTCCATTTTTATAACATTATTTTTTAAATCATATATTCATGAGCACAATATCTGGTGTGTGTGTATATATATATATATATATATCCTGCTTTGGAATGTCTGTTTTACCTGGATCTGACTGATTCAAATGAAAATTAGTTTTATCTGTTAGCGAAAGTGATTAACACACGACACGTTAACATAAAAGGCCTCTAAAGCTTCAATCCTAAACTATAAAATCTAATCACTGCGATTGATAAATAGTTCTGCATGTCAAAGGGAATTCCCATTTAGATAATGAAGAAGATTGAAATAATCAACAACATTACGGATTGGACTTTTGGTTCGAATTCGAGTTGAAATTTGAATATCCGAACCACAAAGTACTTAGATGATTTTTTAAAGTAAAGTAAAAATCACTGTGCATTGTTGTGAAATTTGAAATGCGCAACTCAAAATTGATTTTGATAAAAGTGTATCATTACTACGTGGAATCTGAAAGCATCTCATTACTTACTGCACTTAAAGTGTTAGGTTTGATATAATGCGTAAGCAACCATCCATGTAAAGAAGTGTTTTTAACCTTTGATCAGTAAAACATTATATTCAAATATGACCTTTTTGTATCTTTTTGTCATTTGATTATCAAATTTTAAGTTTTTAGAAATGCGCAACAATCTATCAAAAGTTTTTTAACTGTAAAGGCCTTTGAAGTTGACTTTCACAAGAATCATTTCTACACTTTTTATTCACTTGTTTCTCAATTACAATGGATCCGAGTCTGAGGTTTGTACATTGTACGAGAGACAATAATTGAAAAATGGCACACAATAATCCCATACATATTGGACTTATTCACCCAAATTCTAGGGTTATAAGCTCTCTAGCTTACAGCTTAGCGACCGAGAATTTGTTTGTTTGTAGTTAAGCACAAATCTACAATGGGCTATCGGTGTTGTGCCCACCATGAGTATCGAAAGCCAGTTTTTAGCGTTGTAACTCTTAAGAATCAATGCTGAGCTGCTTGGGAGGTAGGGAGGGGACACTACCGAGAGACTCGTGTCCATACATATATATACATATATGTATATGTCTATGTGTCTATAATGTTCCGAAATCCATAACAACTCTGCTCCTTTTTTCTTAACCTGTTACGTGTTCTAATATAAAATGTATATTTTCCTAAAGAACAACTGTTATGAACAATTTGTATTCTTTGTTGATATTTACGCTTTCTGTAGCGTGTGTAACATATATTAACCTGTGTAGATTAATCAGCTTTTGTGATTTTTCGTGC